CCCTTTCCCTGAAAGCGGACTGCTCCAGCACTAGATGGAACCCTTTCCCTGAAAGCTGACTGCTCCAGCACTAGATGGAACCCTTTCCCTGAAAGCGGACTGCTCCAGCACTAGATGGAACCCTTTCCCTGAAAGCTGACTGCTCCAGCACTAGATGTTCTGAGGCATCGGGCTGTCATAATAAACACCGTCATATCATACTGTCATTTCTGCAGGCTAGAAAACCTGCAAGAGAAAAGCATGCGTGCTTTCGGCTGCAGCCGCCTGCGTCCATCCCCCTGTGTTCTGCAAGCCATGGAGCTTCACACTCGTGTAGGACAGCGCTTGGTCACCTCATTTCTGTTTGCATTACGGCACAATAATCGTTCCACTGTGGACTCGGGGGGGGGGGGGGGGGGGGGGGGGTTGGTCGTCCTACATCAATACCCCCGGAATTAAAGGGGGGCCAGAAAAGCGAGTTCAGATGTCAGAAAGGCACAATTATGTGGGAAACAACTCATATCTTCACAGTGTGAGGAGAAGACGTGAATCCTCCTTTGTGTATGAACTGCCTGCATGTCTCACAGTCCCATGACTGCATCACGCTGGCAGACAGGCGATCGATACATAGCGCAATGTGACCCTGAAGAAAAGCAGAGGTCATGGGGGGCAGAAAGACGTGCAGGATCACCAGCCACCAGCCAGACTTGCTGGGTAACTCTGCAGGTTAAAAGTTACTGTCCAGAAGCATAAACTACAGGCCCCAGTGAGGATTGAACTCGCGACCCCTGGTTTACAAGATCAGTGCTCTAACCACTGAGCTAGGGAAGGAGCATCAGTCAGTCACAGACCCCAGCAGACAGCCTATTCATTAACGGCAGGTCGAGGCGCCACCCAGAGACGCCGCCAAAACACCAGCATCGCGTTCCTGTGATCTGATGAAGCAACAAGGGGAAGCCTGCTGGCTTTGGGCAGCTGAAGGGGAGGAAGAGCTCTTCACTAGACGCTGCTGGGGAGACACATGGAGGAGGAGGAGGAGGAGGAGGAATTAAAGAATAAATGGGCTCTGACACTCCTCCGAATGCGCTACTCTGACAAGCAAAGGAAGCGAGGAAAAGAGCGACAAAACACAGACACCCAGTATAATCCATTAAAATGTATTTAAGAGCAGATTAACAAAGTCGCCTGATCTTCACAGAAGATGCGCATAGGACATGCTGACGACCAGCAAGGTCATTAACCAGGTGGGGCAGCCACTGCATTGCTTTCCTCTCTCACTAAAACAGGTTGGTAAGTTTACAGGAGATGCTGGTCTTTGGTGAAACCTGAACGGGAGGGAGGGGTTTCACTATGTCTGTACACACCATGTCCTCCAGTGCTCCCCAAATGTACAGGGGGGGGATAAAATTTACACCAGAAATGGGTAATACATTTCCGTGAACGAGACTCTGGCTGGTAATAACGGAACTAGTATTGCAATTAGCTCACAAACCCAATTCTTCAGCTTCTAAATGCCAGGAGAACAGAACATTGTGCATTTACTTGAAAGGAGGGCTTTCTCTCACAGGTCCGTGAGATAACAAAACAGCTCTTCTCCTACTGATGTCATCCGTCCAAATCGTCCACAAACCCGCTGCCTCTAAGGGGTAGAATGGCATCAGCACGCTGGGTATCAGGCTGGATGAGTCACATGGGGCAGTGGCAGGTCCCCAAAGCCCAGTGAGCCACATGCAGGAGGCGGGACCCTCAGGGCACCGCGCAGGAGGCGGCGGGACCCTCAGGGCACCGCGCAGGAGGAGGCGGGACCCTCAGGGCACCGCGCAGGAGGCCTTGCGGAGAGCCAGGTAGCCCGTCACCACGTCCGAGGGCAGCAGGCGGATATAGGAGAACTCCTCACTGGAAGCGAAGCGCAGCTTCGTCTGGGGGTCCGTGTAGCTGGCCTGGGGGGGCAAACGGAGTCACATCAGCATGTGCGTGTGAAGTGGAGGAGGGGGCGTTATTTACAAACACTTTTTAGCTTAACCATACAGAGCAGTGTTATAAACATTACAGTAAGTTTATCCCCACACTGGGATAAGCGGCTGGAAGATGAAGAGATGCTGGAAATGCTGGATGTTACTACAAAATATTGTACAAAAATCTAGAAATATCCTATTTGGGGCTCTCAACTTATTTCTGATTAGTGCTGAGAAACCAAACGAGCCACAAAGCAAAAAGTCAGAGAGCAGGTGCAGGGGGTACAGAAGAGTGCAGGGGGTACAGAAGATGGACAGCAGAGGTTATGGACTGGGAGAGCAGTCATTCCATCACTGCTGATGCACCAATACATTCATGCATTGCAGTGAGCAGTCATTCCATCACTGCTGATGCACCAATACATTCATGCATTGCACAAATAATCTGAAATTTTCAATGGCAGAGTCTGCTGAAACAATAAATGGACTGGTCATCCCGGAAGAGTCTCACCGGAAGCCCAGAGATGTCAGAGTACTTCTTGGCTGGTTTCAGAGAAGGAGGGGCATCAATGTTGTAATCTGTGAATTGAGACGATGACAGAAGCCAGCGAAAGGTTACGACACACAACGACACCCTAAGGACAATGGTGATGATAATGAAAGTGTTTTATCTCACTGCACTTTGACAATCTCAGTAACACACCTGACCGTGTTAAAGGAACTATTTTTCTAGGTAATAATTAAGTCAAAAACTGCTTTCCTGAGCAGTACTAACCCAACTGAAGTATTAGAAGTTCTACTGTGATTATGAAGGTGGTTTAATTATACAAACAGGTATTGAAGCACGGAACACAAACACTCAAAATATTGTGTATTGGTTAATTAAGTATTTTTTAGACTTGTTTTGGAATTTCAGTAAAAAGGATACTTCCTAGTTCTGAGTGACTAACCATCATGACTTTGCTCAAACACATCATAGACATTTTGGCAAAAGCAAACATAGACTGCAGGTTAATGGTCACATCTCAGTGACACAGAACAGAACACAAACCCATAATAATAAAACGTATTTTTAATGATGTGCCACATCACACAGATTTAGCGTTATTCCTGAGGTAGGTGAGCATGTCAGACGAGACACGGAGATCAGCCATCTGTACTGTAGTGGGGACCCCTAGTGGCCTGAAGCTGCCTTTCCTTCTTAGGGCAGTGGTGGCTTAATGGTCAGGGAAGCGCACTTGTGATTGAAAGATCGCAGGTTTGAATCCCCGACCAGCAAGGCACCACTGAGCAAGGTCCCGCCCCCAAGCACTGCTCCCCAGGCGCTGAATTAGCTGCCCCCTGCTATGCCACGACGTCGCATATGGGTTAAACATAGAGGACACATTTTGTTGTTGTGCACTGTGGTGTGTCAACAATGACTACTGATCACTGAATTCTAATTCAGTGCTGCGGGGGAGGTGAACAGCACCAAACTCACAGTTGGGGTCGTTCAGCTGCCATGGTAGGGCCTTCTCTGCAGCCAGGATCTGCTTCAGGTTCTTCCACGTGCGGTTTTTCTTGCCCGCAGCCGCCCCACCAATCCCGGAGTGCTGCACACCGAGGAGAGGAATGAAACCGACAGCAAGTACTTCGCTCACGGGCACAAAACAGAGCCTTATCCATGGACCAGTGAGCTCTTGTTTGAAGTACATGTCATCGGCCACTAGCTGCCTGGTCTACCCTGACCACACCATGCTGACTTACAGAAAATCTTCATTAAACCAAGTTCACTGACGTGAGCCATGTTAAGTCTTACCACGAAACTGGGATCCTTAAAGGGCTGTGGTTTGGCAGCAACGCAGGACTCCACTGCCGCCTGATCGGAGGGGGCGGCGGCCTTTGGGTCGACAGGAGAATCGAGGGACGGAGCCTAGAGGGCAGATACAGCAGAAAGCCTGGGTAGGCACCCCGTCCGCACAATTAAAGTAATTCTACAGCTTATGTAAGTAATCAGAAAAGTTTAAGGATCGGAAAATTAGTGCTGTGAAATGTGGGAGTACAGCGTGCCCTCAAAGAGCTCAGACAGCGGAACCGCCGGGAGGGTAAGCGATGTAGATGCGCTGGCATCGCTGCTTAGGTTTAGCGGGAGATATAGCCGGAGCCACGACATATACCTGGGTTTAATGAGCACAGGGATCGGCGAGCGTACCTGCCCCTGGGGGCCAGAGGGGGTGAAGCTCAGCTTCTTCTTCTTACTGCTGTTCCCGCTGCTGCCCGCGCCTTGGCAGGGACCGACAGCGGGGCTGGCCGGTCGCTTCTTCGCCCGGGACTGGGAAGCGGACGCCGTGATTTTACCGCTGGAAACCGGGGAGGCCGTAATCTCGGCCACTGCTGCTCCCGAGGAAGAGGAAGCCATTAGGTCAGCTCTTAAGGATACCTAAGAATAAGAAATAATGAAACAACGGATCCGTAGGTTCCACGACTTCCGCATAACCCGGAAGTGAATTGGACCGGACGTGATGTCATGTCTCAGCATTGCAGTCTCCCCTTTTTTTAATTAACATGCAAGTATACGCACAAAAAAGAGGAAACACTCAGCCACGGTTTGGCAAGAAATGTGAATCAGAACAGATTCAATACAACGCACAGCAGGGATGACATATAATGGTTGCACAGACCAATTATACAAAATAAGAAAAGAAGTAGGTCTATATGGAATTAACCAAAAGGTATAATAAGTTGCACCAAGAAAATTGCATTTTTCTTCAAAGTATTGTTGTCATAATAAATTAAGATATCACTACCAGACAGCATCTGTTGATGGACAGATGTTTGACCGGCTTCCCTAGACAAGAAGTTCTGTACATCATTCCAAAATATCTCAGTATACATACATTGAAAAACTGAAAATTGTTTCTTAGCCAAGTCCACAGAAAGTGCAGGAATAATAGATATTTAACTTAAACCTTTCGAACACATTTCACAGGATATATTCTCTCTAATATTTTATATGAAACCTCTTTTACTCCACTATCAATTCACTGGCTACATTTGAAAGAGAAATGAGTTGGTATCATCCATCCATCCACCCATCTATCCATCCATCCATCCATTTTCTGTAACCATTTGTCCTATTCAGGGTTGTGGGTGTCCAAAGCCTATCCCAGAGGCTACCGGCGCAAGACAGGGAGCAACCCAGGATGGGGCGCCAGCCCATCACAGGACACACTGACACACCATTCACTGACATATGCACACCTACACACACATACGCACACACACACGCACGCGCACATACAGGGGTGCAGTAAGGGCATTCAGGGAGCCCAGCAATTTACAGGGGTCCTTGAATATGTAAAATTATAAAATGACATAATGTAAAGGCGACATTTTGTCCAGTAACAGCCACACGTCTAGGTGACATTATGAATTACGTGATGGGCATCTTCCAAGGACAGCTTTAAAAGAATTTTAAGTACAGATTCCCAGGTACAGAGTGAGCAGGACTGGAGGAAGAGCTACAAAATAACTTCTAATAGAGCTAGAACCTAATAAGACTATTCAACGTTCAGAAGTGCAACATAAGAACATTGAGGGAACATAAAGAGGTATATAATTGTGTGTGCAGTCGTGTCATAGGCACTGCAAGACCCACCCTTCAATTTTCTCTATTTTAGTGTATAAAGACATACAGTACTGTGCAAAAGTCTCAGGCAGCCGAAGAGAACAGTGTTCAGAACTATTTATATGTGCACAAGTGTATATTTGCTGGCAAACATTACAATATATACAAATAAGTAGAAATGCAAAATAAAAGAACTAAGAATTTCTTATGTTCTCCAAAGTGTTACTGATACATTGTTGTATGTTTAAAAGAAGAGCACCTTGAGAGCACCTTTTATGTATTTGTTAAATTTTGTACATTTTATCAACAGCTCATATAATTAATTGTTTTCATTAGCAAATTAACTTCATGGAGCATTGTTTACCCCAACATGGTATGCGAGTGGGTGAGCTCAACACACACATTTCATGGCAATATGCAAGGGTGACTTGTGGACAGCTTTTGAAATGGCTAAGCTAACACACCTCTACAGACATAAAATCATAGTTTTACATAATTTTGGTAGAATTTTGTTTGGCTGCCTAAGACTTCTGCACACCTCTGTACATTTGCATATATAATATAGACGCCACATTTATGTGAGTGAGTGTATGATTATCCCCAATTGTACTTATGTGCAGCTGCTGTATCTTGCCCCTGGTACTGGAGCTTTGCTTTAATGACTTTCACAGAAGCCGCTGCCATTTCCCTCCATGCCTACGAAGGATGACTAATTAACAGTGAGCAGCATTCCTGCCCAAGAGCCTCAGAGGCAATTAATTTGCAAAGCTCTGGAGGCGTACGGACAATCTGCTTCACAGTATGCATACCTGCATACGTGTGTGTGTGTGTGTGTGTGTGTGTGTGAGAGAGTGTGTGTGTGTGTGAGAGAGAGAGAGTGTGTGTGATTTTCTTAAGAAATTAATTTTTTCTTGAGTCCTTAATAGGCACCAAAGTAAATGGATGAGTGATGCATTTTGCTCATGTGCTTTTTGAAGTACTTCAGCAGCAGATAAAGAGACAACATAATTATTACAACAAAAAAATTCTCTGTAGCCATTTTCACTGAAGCATCTGGTCGTAGCGACTCACTGTGGAGTGAAACGTAAGACGGGCGTCTCACCATCAGGCAGAGCAGCAAACCACCTGCGAGTGGCGAGCGCTGGAATGAAAGCGGACAAATGGACACTTTTCTTGCAGCTGCGTGGGAGATGATGACTTTTCACTGAACTACAACATTCAAAGGAGGGCATAGGAGAAAGTTTGATATTGGGGGCGGCACAACTTAATAATTTAAATGCAAATATCTATTTTTTGGGGGGACAAATGAGCTCAATCACATATCGGGAGGTACAACCCCCCACCTCCCCCGTTTCTCACGTCGCTACCTGCAACAATGTTACAGTCATGGGCTGATTGGCTTCCAGCTAACGGTGCTCATTATTACTCTGAGGCTGCTCTGTGCCCCTTGGCTTTGTAAGCCCAGGTCTGGCTGACAGGGGCCACACGCCCATCACTCTGCATGATTCATGCCACCACTGACAAAACTCAGCACTGGCTTTTGCACTTGCTGGGTCCCTTTAGATACAATCTAGCTACACTAAGAATTGATCTTGGCTGCAGAACTCAGAGCTACTCCATTCTCCCATCAGAAATCTTTTGAGGATTTAGAAGTTATTTCACGTTTTCTTCTTCTGAAGCAATGGCGTGAGCTTCTTATAATGGGTCCCAGGGCAGGATTTTTTTGGGGGACGACTCCTCATTTTTGGACACATGTCCAGGCACATAAAGAAAGTCTCTGACCCTTAACGGTTAAATGTTACAGAGGTACCATGTATCTTTGTGAAATATCCTTAAGGTATAAAATATGAACTTTTATAGCCTTAAAAGTTAAACTTAAAATTAAAAACTGGACACTCTGAGCAAGACCGATTTGCCAATCATGGTATATATCTTTTGGTGTCCAGTAGTTCATAATACAATGAACTGTGCTTCTGTAATTTAAACTAATAGATCAATAGCCTCCTGATCTCCTGTCAGGTCCCAGTCAATCGTTTCTGTCAGGTGAAGGAGACTCTTGTTTACCATGATGTGCTGAAGTCATGCTGTTTTTCACAGTTGGGGGGTTTTCACTCCACCCTCTGTGGTCTCCCAGTCAATATTGATAATGTTCTTAAACTGGGATAAATTCCAGGCATTGACATTCATTACAGAGATTTATCACCCTACTTTTGGGTTGGTCATTCCTTACTCTATCCAGTAGGATGACCAGTATGCCATCAGTATTTGAAATGAATAATTTTGAAACTTGGAATGTCATGTATCTGCAGAACAAAAAAAAGTAAAATTTGTGCACTTGTTAAAATTTTTGGAAGACTGACAGCTGTATGTGTTCAGGAATAATTTGTGAGAACAAAGAGTCAATTGGCATATTTCCAAAGTAGTTGAGACTCCACATTGTGGAGAAAGACAAAGAAAATGTCTCTGTTCACTTCAGCTTCAGAAGACTGGCCTGATACTGACCCCTTTGTTAGTTTTCCTTCTTGCTCCGAGATCTGACTATGATATCTGATCCCATTCATTTCATACAGAGAAAGACTATTAAAGTGCAAGATTCTATCTTCTGTGTTGTATTCTTCGGAAATGGGTCCAGGTATTACCCATGGGTAACCCTAGCCTTCCTCTGCTACGCCTGTGCTCTGCGTAGCTCTGACTAATGTGCTTTGACGGTTAAGTGCCTCTTCTGTTCGAGTGCTGGGTCAAAGTCAGAAGTTGACTGAACGGCAAACCTGAGAATCTGATCTCCTCACTGCTGGCCAGAGAGACATAACTAAAGCCCTCGTAGGATCCTAAGAGGAGGTGCTCAGGCATTGAAAATTGCGAACTGTGAATGAATCCTTTAAAATCACCAGGGGAGGAAAATTCAAGTCCAAAGTAAAAATCCAGTCCAAGATCTTGTATCAACCATCCAGTTGAGTTCTCTGTGACGCCATCCATTTTCTGAAAGCACTAATCCTATGCAGGGTTGAGGGGGGTCCGGAATCTATCAGTGCAAGGGGGGGAACAAACCAGTATGGGGCACCAACCCATCACAGGGCTACACTCACACACCTATGGGCCTCTTGGTAACTCCAATCAGTCTCAGCATGTTTTTGGGCTGTAGGGGGGGGGGAACTAGAGTAACCAGAGGAAACCCAACAACGACACAGGCAGAACATGCAAACTGACACAGAGAGCCATGGCAGAGACTCGAACCCTGGCTCCAGCCATGTAAAGCAGTAGTGCCAGCAACCGCAATACTGTGCCACCCCTATACTTTGTGACTTACACTCTTTATACACAACAGGTTGGTTGAAACAAAAGCTTGGTCTGGATTTTTACTTTCTGGACCTGAAATTTGGATTTGTTTAGTTGCAACATTTACTGGGACTGGATCCTTTTAGTGGCATCAAGCCACAGTTTCTGTCTGAGGAAAGACGTTTTAGATTAACTGTGGTCAGAGAAGAAATGGCGTCATTCACTCTTTATATGAGGAACGCCTTGATGATGATGATGATGATGATGATGATGATGATCTTAAACATCATCATCAACAGATTAGGCAGTGCTAGACCCAATTTAGGGAGGCTTCAGGCCCCATCTTTCCTCTCCACCCCTCTTAAAACTGTTATGTCATTCTTTCTGAAATCCACTGAAACCTCTTGGATTTTCTAATCTCTTTTGAGCGAGAACGGACTCCGAAGATGCAGCACAGCGGTAAACATTCAGCAAACTCCGATTCCCCCTTCATTTTGTGATTGTTGGTTTCACCCAAACCAAAGTCTCTAGCACCAATCTTTATACAATCTTCTATCCGAGACAGACAGAAAAGATTGAACATTGTGGTCTTGTGAATATTTCAATGTTTGTCCCACAATCTCCTTTAATGCTGAGCCCCCCCCCAGGGTCAAATCCTAGAATTGCCCCTGATTAACAGCATTATTCATACATCATATTAAAGGGAGCTTTATGGTTTTGAACAAAACTCAAAAACTAGACAACAACAACAACAACAACAACAACAACAATAACCAACATTACTTCAAGCAAGTGGAACTGCAGCGCAAAGCAACGTGGCTCCTGTTTCAAGCCCACCGTTTGTGCTGCTACGGCCTTGACAGCCGCATCCCCACCGCTGCCCCGTGCCTACCTTTGGACGCCACCCCTTCATGGGGTACGAGACCAGAGACCTTGTGGGAAAAGTGCAGAGTAACAGACCCTCATTGATCTACACAGTAAATAGCACAATCATTTACTTAGTAATTATGTAGCAAAAACAAGTTAACGTCAGTTCCTGAAGCCAAAGCCTAATTATAATGACAAATGAAGCGATTAAAGATGACGGAACGGCTTGAACAGTCACAAGTTAGATGGGATATGGTGAGAGACCACAGTAGACATCTCATTTGATTAAAAAAAAAAACAGATGTAAACAGACTCTGGGACAGCTTATTAAAAAGCGTTTTAGCGCAATGCAAACCTGAACATCATGGAATTTTAATGAGCTGAGGGGCTGTTCCCCCATCACGCATCAATTAATTAGCCAGGCGCGTGCTTAAGGTGAACCATCCTCCCCGGCCTGGACCTCCATCTCCAGGCCCAGCTGAGACCCCCAAGGGGGCCTGATGTCATCCCCCTGCCCCCCGCCAAAACCCGTTGCGACAGAGATCTTTTTTTCTTTGTATCTTTATATATTGTTCTTTATAGAGCTCCTAGGGGCCTCTGAAGCTAACTTTGATTTTCATCGATGGGATATTATATTCATCATCCGTATTCATTTAATAATCAATTATTTAATAATTCTTTAATAATACATAGTGTATAAGGACGCCTAATTTCCCTGCGTGCCAATACACTGAAATATGAGCACATGGTTAAACGGATGTAGTTTGCGAAGCACGAGCAGTTTCCTGGTATATTAACTAGCACCTTTAAAGCACTTCAAGCTGTATGAAAAATTACATAAATGTGGAAACCACAAAGAAGTTGCCCTGCGCCGTTTTAAGACACCGTCCCGGGTGCAGCCCAGCCTAGCCACGCCGGCCCGGTGACGCGGCACGGAGGGGCATCTCCTTCCGGGTCCGGGCTGCAGGGGGAGGGCGCTCGATGCCGCCGCTTCGGAGCCCCGCAGTCAGCGCTAGACGCCGAGCAGCGCGGAGCTGCAGTTCGTTCCATCGGACGGGTAGCCTATCGCAGGCAGCGGGAGTCCCGAGTCGCGGACTGTCCGCCCTTTAGTCGCCGCGTAGAGGACGCCGTTCGGCGGCATGACATAATCCCCGTTTTCGTCCGTTTCGTGTCGCCCAGCTCGCTTGGCTTGAATCCCGGAGATCGGACTGCAGCGAGCGGGGGGCCAGCCACCCCGATCCCCGTCAGCGCTTCGCTTCCCCGGCCCGCTACTCCGCATGCCTATGGGCGCCTTCGGGCTCATCTGACGGGGCTGACGAAGACTTGAAGCGTGTCTCTTTTCGGGGAGGAGGGACCCCCAAGATCTGTGTGAAATTACCGGTGAAGGGGACATTTCGGAGCGTCGCCTCCCCCCAGGTACGTAGCGTATCATGCCCGACGTGCCGGCGGAGCGCTTGATCTGCGGCATCCTCGTACGGCCCTTCCTCCTCCGGATCCCCGCTGTTAAAAATGTCGCGTTTGAAGGTGATCGCTGGCGGGTCAGGGGGGTCCACGGGAGGGGGTGTCAGGACGCCGCGATGCCGCGCGGATCCGGACCCTCTTTACCCGTCTTTACTGCTACGGTACAACTAAAGTTAAGATCTGGTAGTTTGATTGAGTTTCCTGACTGTCTGCGGGTTTGTGCCACCCGCTGTTTGTGAACGACGAGTGTTCTGTGTCTGCATGCGCGTAAAGAGTGCTCTGTGTGTGTGTGTGTGTGTGTGTGTGTGTGAGAGAGAGAGAGAGAGAGG